ACGGGTCGCTGCGGCCCCGCCCCTGGGAACCGCAGGCGCCCGGGTTTTAGCGTCCACACCGGGGAGAGGATCCCTGGCTACTTTCATGGCCACCTGCTGTCCCGGCATGCGGCCACAGAGGTTTTTGAGGTCTTCAGGTGTAGTTTAGGGGGTTCCAATTCTCAAGGACACCAAGTCCTTATTATGAATGCGAATTCTGGGACTTGTTGCTGGACTCCCGAATAGTTGACGGCGGTTCGAGGCCCGGACCCTCAGCTTCAAAGTCACCCTAGGTGCTTGTGTGCGTGCCCAAAAATCTAGAAAAGGAATTGCCCAGGCATCCCCCACTGGGGGGTGATTTCTCCTTTCTGTCTCTCTGGCAAGCGCACGTGCCCTATAGCAAAAATCAAAAAAGAATGTGAATTCTGGGGACCAGCACATAGCATGGTTGTTAAAGGCGCTGGACTCCCAAATGGCCGACCACAGTTCGAGTACTGGAACGGTGGCCAGAGGCTTGCTTTCTCACTTCCTCTCCCCTGACCTCCCGGTCAAATTAAAATAATAATAATAATAAATAAAATTAATGTTTTAATGCAAATTTTGGACCCATCCCCAGAGATTCTGAGAGTCTGCTGGTTCTAACTCCACCTTTGCCTCTCACTGGGAGAAGCTCCTTTCGTCTCTCTGGACAGAGATTCTGAGAGTCTGCTGGTTCTAACTCCACCTTTGCCTCTCACTGGGAGAAGCTCCTTTCGCCTCTCTGGACTTCTGTTCACTCCTCTGCAAAACAGATGGATTGATGTTGCACATGACCTGTGGTTATCAGCTCATCGTCCATCCTCCAGCACACAGAACGTGCATAGCTACTTGTCTGCAGAGTAGAATTCTAACTTTCCAGCAAGGCAAGAGAGGGTCTTGCACGTGGCCGGTGCCTTCCTTTCTAGCTTCGTTACTTGGCATCCTGAAGCCAGTTACGATTTTCATATTCTTTCTGTTTTGGGGGGGCGGAGAGTGGAACAGTCACCCTCGACAGGGTCTCCCCAAACAGTGCTCCTCCCAGCCTGCCAGATGAGCAGGTGCTGCAGACCTGCCCAAGTGCCCAGGTCTCAACCGCCCTCCCACGAGGCTCTGGTACCCTGCAGGGGCGCCCCTCACCCGCACCCCTGAGCCTGGACTTGCCTACCAAGCACGCTAGTCCCTCAGTCGTCTTCTCTTTCTGCTCCTCCTTATCACCTTGGAACTCCCGCTCAGCCTTTGAAACTCACTCAAGCATCGCCTCTATGAAAGCCTCTCCAAATGCTTGTATTTGTCAGATGGTTTGCACCATGTCGATTTCCAGCAGTGGCTGGGGAAAGGGGGAAGGGAGGGCGTTCCCACACCTTTCGGGACCTGAGCTGCTCTCATGCCCTTGGCCAGAACCCATGGAATACCCAGCAGCAAAGGAGGCTGTAAACATGTCCAGCTAAAAATCTAGGAAACCATTACTATAGAAACCTAGGATGATAAACAATGGCGGGGTGTTAGTGCTCTGTGCTACAGACCTCTCCCCTTAAGCTTTGTGATATATTTTGGGGTCAGGAAGTGAGATGCTACTCACTCCACTCTTTTTGGGTAGGACTGCTTTAGCAATATGGGTATTTTACAATTCCAGACAAATTCTATGATTGTCTTTTCTAGATCTGTGAAGAATGTCTCTTGTAATTTTATGGTGATTGCATTAAATATATAGATTAATTTGGGTAGGACTGCCATTTCAATTATATTAATTCTCCCATGGGATGTCCTTCCACTTCTTTGTTCCATTTTTTATTTCTTTTTTTTTAAAGATTTTTATAGTTTTCCTTATAAAGGTCTTTGACTTCCTTGGTTAGTTTTATTCCTAGGTATATTGCAAAATATTAACTCTTTTACATACATTCAGAGAAGATTACAAATACGGGAGGTGTCTAGGAGGTCAAGATGGATTTTTTTTTTTTTCTTAAAGAGATTTTTGCTATAGGTCACATGCACTTTCTGGAGAAACAGAGAGACGGAAATGGAGAAATCACCTCCCTGGGGGGATAGCCATGCCACAACCCTTTCTCCTTCATTCTCCTCTCAGGATTTGGGAAATGCATGCTCACCTGCCTGGCATGGGTTTCAAGCCACTGAGTCTGGGATTCGAACCATGGTCAACCACATAGGAGTCCAGTGACTTAACCACTTCATCACCCGCTGACCTCTCGAGATGGATTTTTATCACACACCAAACAGTACACAGTGATAGCTGCAGAAAACAAGGCAACAGCTAGCTACATAAACTTTAAAATATTGTCTTTCAAAACATAATTTGAGAAGTTTTTTTACTTTTATAATAGTTCCATCTAAACGACACTTTAGCATACTGAAAACAAGATTTCACCAAATGTTATGGGAACAAGATCCCTGAAGCAGAGTGTAGGCAAACAGTGTGGGTTAGTGAATTCGTGGTTACTATTTGCTTTAATCATGTGTGCAAGCCTTCCTACTCTCGTATTTCTGGTTGATAGACTTACTGTATTGGTGAGGAGGACCAGAGGCAAACGCATTAAATTTCCGCGAGTCCTGTAAAATAGAGATAGATACAGGGCTTCAGCGGTTATGAAAACAGGGAGTAAAAGACGTCGTCTCTGTTTAAGTCCGCCCCCGCCCCGAAATGCGATCACTACATTAAAGCAGAGGTGGGTAGAAAATTAGAAGTTAGGTACCAGGGGCCTACTGCCAGACGGTAAAGAATCATTTTCTTTCCCCCTTTCCTTGCACCTGCCTCAGAGTACCAGTATATGTCAGCCATGTAGGTGTTCAACATCCGTTTGCTCGCTCGCTTCAACTTGCTCTGCACAGATGAAAGTGTGCCCCGTTCCACTAAAGCCTGTTACAGAAATGTAAAAGAAGCATACGAACCAAAAAGGATTTTATGTTCTTAAACATCAAGGCTCGATTGCTAACTATTGCCTTTTAGAAATTGTATGGATGAACTGGCAGATGGTGTGATGGTTAAGGGTGCTGGACTCCCACACGGTTGACCATGGTTCGAGTCCCGTCCGGACCTGGCGTGAAAAACATGGTCAGCATGAGTCCTCTTGATCCAATCACTAAATCATCACATGCCTGGGTCCGAGTGGCAGTCGATTACATGGGAGTCCAACGACATAGCCATTACGCTAACTGCTGGTCCCAAAAGTGTTTTTTTCAAATCAGTAGGGAACTAAGAGTGAATACTATGGGACAGTGATTTTTAAATATTCAAAATATATACTTCATGTATAAATAGAAATATTAGAAATACAACTTAATTGTTCCATATTTATTTACAGTGGTTCTTGAGTTTCTGCATTGTCTTTGGAGGGTTCTAGCCATGGCAAAGGGTTGGTAAAAGTGTGGCACGTCTGAGACCAGAGCTAAAAGTTCTGTTGAATCAATGATCTCGTTGAGAACACTGACCGTGTATTTTGGGGTCAAAACCATGTGCATACTTGGGAACCAGCAGTTAGCGTAATGGCTATGTCGCTGGACTCCCATGTAGTCGACCGCCGTTCGCGTCCCGGACTCGATGGCTTAAAACTCATGCCAGGCGCGTGTGCGTGCGTGCCCAAGATCCCGAGAGGAGAATGGAGGAGAAGGGATTGTGGTGTGGCTATCCCCCCTGGGGGGTGATTTCTTGCTTTCTGTCTCTCTTTCTCTGTCTGTCTGGTGGCGTGGTGGTGAAGATGGCGGACTCCCACATGGTCGGCTGTTCTTTGAGTTCTAGACCTGGTGATTTGCTTTCCCACTTTCCCTCTCTGTCTCTGGTCAAATTACAAAAAAAAAATAAATAAAATAAAATAATAGTAATAATAAATAAAATAATTATTAAAAAATAATAATACATGTCGGGAGCTGGCAGGTGGCGTGGTAGTTGGGGGTGCTGGACTCCAACATGGGTGACCACAGTTCGAGTCCCGGACCTGGTGGCTTGCTTTCTCGGTTTCCCTCTCTCTCTCTTTCACTCTGTCTCTCTCTGGTCAAATTAATATAAATAAGCAGATAAAATAAATAAAGTTAAATAAAATAATTCTAAAAAAATATATGTCACCTTAATATTTAAATGCTTGAGCAAATAGAAAAAAATGTAAATATCAAATGATGATTTCTTTCATTTTAATTCTGAAGTTAAGAGTTACGTGAGAGGGTGGGAGGGATATTTAATCTTTCTATATAACTAAATGAAAGGTTCTCACTTTTCCCGTAAAACTAATCCAACCAGAACAGACCCATCAAACACACACTCCAAATAGCAAAAAGCCTGAAAAAGGATGATAGTTTTAATACACTATTTCCTTCTAAGCTAGATTTGGGGAGCCACCTGCTGGCAAATTGATAAGTTGTCTACAATTTTTTTAATGGACATAGAGTTAGGATTGCCAGGTAATTTGCAGGATGCTTGGTTAAATTAGAATTTCAGAAAAACAACCAATTTTTTTTTTTAACATAAAATACCAGTACACTTCAGTATTTGCTCCCTATGGTCACACTACCTTGTTTAAAATTTAGAATTACACACGGTCAAGTGACTTGGGAAAGGAAATTCAGGCAGCATGATTATTTAAGATTACGACGGTGGGATCCCACGTGACTAGACTGAGCAATCTCAGTCCCAGAACCCAAGACTTGAAAATCATGCTAGGGGTGTGTGCATGTGTGCCCAAAATCCCAAGAGAAAAATGGAAGAGAAGGGATTGTGGTGGAAGAGATTGTGGTGCGGCTAACTTCCCTGTTGGGTGATTTCTCACTTTC